GCTTAACGACTGAGCCACCCAGGCGCCCTCAGAATTCATTTTAAATATACCCCTAAGTTCATGACTTATTCATAAAACAATGAATTATTTTCACTACATATAATTCTTACCATATATACAAAAATTATGACACCTTGAGAATCAAAACTACACATTTAATCTACTTGGAATTCAGTTACTTAACCAACTACCTTTAGAGAAGTCATTAGTTGTCATAATTACTAAAACCAGATCATTATAATCAAAATATCTTTTGATAGGGATTTGGGTTACATAGGTGTATGTTTTTTGTCAGAACTCATAGAATGGTACAATTAGAATTTCTGAATTTCACTGTGTGGAAATCTCACGTTAAAAAAGTTTTAAAAAAGAATTTAAAAGGTAATAATATGCATCCTGAATTGTTTTGGTGTAAAGTGTTCATGTCTGCCACTTTGAAATTCATTCTTGAAATAAGATGGAATGAAGGATTGAGTCATACATGATAAAGCAAATACAGTAAAATGTTAATTGTAGAACCTAGCAGTGAATATGTGTGTGTTAACTATACAATACTTCCAATTCTTCTGTGTACTTAACATTTTCCATAGTAAAATGTTGAGAAAAACATCAGGTCATAAACTATGAAACTGGCAAGCAAAATCCTGTTTGACACAGTTTTTTGGTTTTTTTTTTTCTTAAAGATTTTATTTATTGGGGCGCCTGGGTGGCTCAGTTGTTAAGTGTCTGCTTTTGGCTCAGGTCACGATCCCAGGGTCCTAGGATCAAGCCCCACATCGGGCTCCCTGCTCAGCGGGAAGCCTGCTTCTCCGTCTCCCACTCCCCCTGCTTGTGTTCCCTCTCTCACTGTGTCTCTGTCAAATAAATAAAAAAAATCTTAAAAAAAAAAAAGATGTTATTTATTTGACAGAGAGAGAGAGCACAAGCAGGGGAAGCAGCAGGCTGAGGGAGAGGGAGAAGCAGGCTCCTCACTGAGCAGGGAGCATGACGCCAGGACCCTGGGATCACGACCCGAGCGGAAGGCAGCCACTTAACCGACTGAGCCAGGCAGGCGCCCCCAGAATTCTTAATTTTTATTTTGCTTATGATATATTACATTATCCCCATCATCATACTAGTACACGTAAGTCTAAGGCTCAACTTTTGTAGAATTAGAGTGTCTTTTAAAATAATGACAGTAATATCAAAGGAAGCTAATAAGCCATGTTCCTTGCATTCTTGGGGCACCTGGGTGGCTCAGTTGTGAAGCATCTGCCTTCGGCTCAGGTCATGGTCCCAGGGTCCTGGGACTGTGTCCCGCATCAGGTTCCCTGCTCTGCGGGAAGCCTGCTTCTCCCTCTCCCACTCCCCCTGCTTGTATTCCTGCTTTTGCTATCTCTCTCTCTCTCTCTCTGTGCCAAATAAATAAAATCTTAAAAAAAAAATGTTCCTTGCATTCTATATGCCAGTATATACCACAAGTTTCCTTAATTTCAATTAGGAGTTTTTAAATGTCCACTAAAACAAACAGATCACATGTCAACAACTTAACTAATTCAGTAAACCTAAAGAAATAAGTCAATTAAGTACAGATGGTACCCAACTTATGATGGTTCAACTTATGATTTTTTGACTTTACGATGGTGCAAAAGTGACGCATGTGGTAGAAACCATGCTTTGAATTTTGAATTGTGATGTCGCCCCAGGGTAGTGAGATGTATGTAGTACGATCCTCTCTTGTGCTGCTGGGCAGTAGCCATGAGCCACAGCACCTGGTGAGCCACGGGATCACAAGGATGGAAAATCTAGACCCTGACAACTATTCTGTACCCCTACAACCATCCCCTTCTTGACTTTCAGTGTAGTATTCAATGAATTACGTGAAATAGTCAATACTTTATTATAAAATAGGCTCTGTGTGAGATGATTTTGCCCAACTGTAGGTTAATGTTCAGTGTTCTAAGAACCCTTATGGTGAGCTAGGCTAAGCTATGTGATGTTCAGTAGGTTAGGTGTATTAAATGCATTTCGACTTAAAATATTTTCAACTTAAGACAGGTTTATCGGGACATAACCCATCATGAGCTGAAATATCTGTATAGATAAGCAAACACACACATACACAAAATGGAAAAATCAAACTTCTAAATTAAATCCAGTTGAAAAATTTCTTTCCAAGGAACATTAAGTCTTTCACGATTACTAAGTATCTAGATTTAATGTAATTCCATACATTTTGATTAAAAATGTTAAGATAGCCAATATCACATCTCTGAGATAAAGTGAAAAGAAATTAAGTTCTAAACTAAACCTGGAGAACTAGCAAATAACCAACTGCATATAAATCTAGTAAAAAAGCCTAATTGCATCTTTTTTGCCCACCAGAGAATATGAATAAAGATCAAGGTTAATAATTTTTTTACTAATATTAACTCTTCTATCACCACCTGTTTTAGTTGAATCAACTGTAAGTAACCACTATAAGTACTATATCTTTTTGCACTAGAAATGTTTAGTAATGGCAATGCAGAATCAATAAACACCTAAGTTGACTCAGACTACAAAGTGGGTAAATTGGGTCCTAAAAAGTTTAGAAGTCTTAGCAAATCAATATATAAATTCTACATTCATTATGATATGAGAAAGTAATGATTGCCAAGTAAATAATATAGCTAGAAAAATCCAAATAATAAATACAACTAAATGAAACAAAGTCCCCAGGGCTGTTCCCTCAACACCTGGTAGACCACTTTTGTGACTCATTAAAAACTGGTAACTAATAACTATACTAAGTTGTTTTGTTTTTTAAGGTGGAGAAGATTCTTTATCATAGTTTCTCAGTTTTAATGTTTTCACATAATGCTGATTAATATTATGCCTCTCAAATTTATTAAATTTGTGAGTCCCTAATTCAAGATACATACTGCAGTATAAATACACATCTTAGATTATCCATACTTACATACAAGAGTTATAAAAACGTGAATCACTTTCAAATGATTAACTGTTAAATGTGAAAGTTCTAAGTAAAAGAGAAAATTAAAAGGAATTTTTACACTAAAGTAAAGGACGTTACAAGGGCATTAAAATTTATACTTCCTCTTCATGGACTTGGCAACCATAACCTTAAAGACATTTAAAATAGTTTTTGTTTTTATCACCAATGTTTTCTATCACACTACATAGAGAGTTACAAAAGTACCTCAAAACTAAAGCAGTTAACAAATCCTGAAGTATTTTTTCTTTTCGCTTTATTAATCCTGAAGTTGTGAAAGAAGAAGGAAAACCCTCTTTTCCTTTTTACCTAGGACGGGAAAGGTAACAGGAAAAGATCCTAAAAATGGCTAGGGAATGGAACATCAAGTTCCTAATATAAATACCCAATTAAACCTCTCGGCTATTTTCATTGGAGTATATTCTCTTGTGGGGGGCAAGGGATGCTTAGGAAGGAAGTATCCTGCCTTCAGTAGTATGGTTAGTTTAGAGGGGAAAAATATTAAACATTTAAAAAAGTACATACCCATATTAAAAGAATAAATCAAGTTGTTACTGAATATATTTCAATAAATCTTAAAAAGTGCTCAATATATACCTTCTTCTGGAGTTTCTCCACAAATCCAATGGGATTTTTTAGTGCTTCTTTCTGGTGTTTGCCTAAACTTTCAAGGTCCTGGACTGCTTGAGAACGCTGAGCTTCGAGTACAGCAATCGTCTGTAACAGTCTCTGATAACTACAGAGACAAAGAAAAATACCTCACTAAAATTTTCTAGTAACAACAATAAATAAAAACTGAGTTCAAGCCATGATCTACTATTAAGCCACACAGTCTTTTTAAAGTTACCTGAAAGAGTTTAGTAAAACATATTACTGGGAATAAATGAGGTCTTCCTGAGTTACGAAGTACCTAGTCAGAAAATATCAGTTAGAGAAAGCAAAGCCTTATTTCCCCATCTTAAGTTTTTAACTCTTGAACCTGAGTAAGTACAGAAAATAAGAAGGCATCTTGACTTTCCAACAAAGTCATTAAGAAACTGCTAAATAAAAAATAAAATAAAATCATAAGTTTTAGCACTAGGAGGGATCAGCAAATTCAGCCCCTCTGTTGTATTCTGTTGGAATAAGGAATCCGAGGTACATTTTCTTGCCCAGAGTTAAGCCAACTGTACAATAATTAAGACATGATTTTAGGCGTTATGGTTCTCATTTGCTCTATTATACTTTCACTCTACAGGAAGTTTACTTTCCAAGCAATTCTTAAGTATTGAACATTTTTAAAGAAGAAAGGCCTTAAAGATACTTACTCCCTACCTACAAAGGTCTGTTTAGCACAACATATAATTTTACCCACACAAACCTACTATCTGCCATTATCCTGAAATCTCACTATGGTACTAGTTAATTCTCTTCGTCTCTCTCTCTTTGATTCAGATTGTCCTGCCTCTCTAATGTCTATTTTCAAATATCAATGCACATATGGGAATATGTTAACCCAAAGTCCTGAATGTTCAAATACACTTTGCAAAAAGAATGAAAAAAAAAAAAAAAGGTCATTCCAAGTTTGCTTCAAAATAAGTGGTTAAGTCCTTAAATGTGTAGGTAAAACACAATTTTTCTTTATGGCTTCAAATAAATTTCACTGCATTTCCCGACTAGACTGTAAACTCCATAATGGCAAACACATCTGAGAAGTTCACTGTTTTGTTTATCCAGTGTGCAGCACACTTCCCAGGACACAGATGATCGATAAATATTTTTGAATGAACAAATGAATAGACATGTCTTGTGCAATCAAAAAGTATAGTGAATCTTTTAAGTTCAGAAGTCAGCAAACTAGCAGAAATTTAAAAGGTAAAACAACGCAATTTTGAGGTTCACAGCCACAGCATAATTGCAACATGGCCTTCTCTAACAGGACACTTCTCCAGTCCCTGCCTATAACATACCTATTCTTGCTCTTGAAATGTTAATAATTAAGGTAAAAACTAATAACACTGAAGGGTAAGACTCCTCTCAAGCTAGGGATACTTTTATTTAAATGCCAGAACATAATTGGAAAGCAGGAACCATACCAAGTCACTCCTGGATAAGTTACAGAGGTTAAGTCTAAACCTACTTCCACGAAGCCCCCATTTGCTGTGAGGTATATGGAGTGCACAAACCCTGCCTCTGCTAGCTATTTCCATGAGGCAGGCTCACCAAGGCACAATCTTAGGATGATGGTAGTCAGCTAAGTACGAGAACCTAGCCTCTCTACAATACTCTTAACTAGCATACTTCACCTCCAGAACTCCTTCCCCACTAGCTGAATAACCAAAGATTTGTCATGGTGTCATGACTGATCTCTGTTTAAAGCAAGACTTACATACTTCTGTATCATTAATATAAAAATGAGTATGAGTCTATTAAACTTTCAGCAAACTGCTGAAAGCACAATAACAATTAATAAGGAACAAGTAAGAACACAGTTATGGAAAAAATAAGCACAGGCTTGAAAAAAAGCACTGTAGTCAGTTGTTGATGCTGGGAAGAAAGGCCTCTCTTTGAAACCAATAAACTGTAACAAATTTTACTGTATTTAAATTATTTTTTCAAAAGAGATGACAAAACAGAACTCTTCAAACTCTATTTGCTTCTCTTTAATCAAGATAAAATGATTAACAAATTGAAGTCCCACGATAAACACTGGTAAAAGACTTAAAGTCTGGAATAAGTGAAAAGACTGTAAGAAAGTGGTAAACTCAAGTCTTCTAGACCAGCTAACTTGAATCATTTGAGTACTCTTTAGAGTCCTCAGAGATTTTTTTTTTTTTAAGATTTTATTTATTTGACAGCAAGAGACACTGTGGGAGAGGGAGAAGCAGGCTTCCCACCGAGCAGGGAGCCCGATGCGGGGCTCCATCCCAGGACCCTGGGATCATGACCTGAGCCGAAGGCAGACGCTTAACAACTGAGCCACCCAGGCACCCCTAGAGTCCTCAGAGATTTTTACCAGTAAGATTACCATTTATATTCCTACGCAGAAATGGAAGGAATCATAAAAAACTAGAGTGACATCTAAAAAACCAATATGATACAGTCAAATCTATTTTCAATCCCTCCCACCTACCCATCCACTTCACCTCCAAATGCAAACTACTAGAAACTGATCCAGACATCAGTCAAGGCAAGACTCATTTGTTCATTAATTTGATAATTATTTACTAAGAGAATTAAGGCACTATCCTAAAAGCTTTAGTAATTATCAAAGCAAATCAGGCATGGACTTAGGTATAACAGAGAAGGAGAAAACTGTATGGAAGCGAATGGATAGGACTGACCATGTTGTTGGGGATAGAGGATGGGTATGTGAGGTCCATCATCCTAGCCGGTCTACTTTTTTTGTATGTTTGAAATTCTCCACAATGAATTATAAAAAGAAAACTTCAACTTCAATCCAAATTAATGGAGGAATTAACCACTGTACTCTTCCTAGGCTGGTCAGATCACACCTACTACTGTATTCAGCTTTGCTTTAAGAGAGACAACCAGGTTCATGAAGAGACAAGGTGGATGAGAAAGTATGTAATAAGAAATAACAAGTGTCTTAACATTTACTGAATGTATACTAAAAGCCAGATGTTGTATTTTAAGTATAATAACACAGTCCTCACTATACACTTACAAGATAGGTACCATTATCACTATTTCACAAATAAGGAAACCAAGGCACAGACTAAGATTTGTCAAGATCATACCAGCCATTTATTGTGGAGATGTGATGTGAGGAATGGTTAAGATTCTGAGAATATTTACCGAAGAAATTAAAACCTCCAATAGAATATTGTTTCAATCTTTAACACACAGCTATGTAGAAAAGGAAATAGACTTTTACAAGTTATAAACAGTCAAACCAGAATCAAATTGTGATAAAGGCACAATATGAAGAAAAACAGTCTCCATCAAAACCAATAAAAAATGGCAGTATAGCACCCAATCACCACAGATGTTCATACAGATATTTAAAGGAAATTCAAGCACTAAAAATACTGCAACTCTTTAATTCCAGCAAAACAGGCTACTTTCACACATTTGCTACTACTCACTCAACCAAGTAATCTGTAGAATGATTTTTTAAATGTATATACTTTTGTGTGAATGAAAATAGTTATAGCATTCCCACAAGGACAACTTTGTATTAAATCTATCAAAAATTATTTATCTGTTTCTAAACTAAATCCACTGCTACAAATAGTAGGCTTACCTATGGCAAAGAATTGTTAATTTTATTGTCTCACATCTTCAACGTAAAGTAAGTTTAGCTTTTATACTATGGAACTTTATTAAAATATTAATACTTTCCAATTCTAAATCTAAGTTATTTTGACTACCCTTCATTATCCAAGTCCTCTTGAATGCTTTATTCACATCTGTGAATATAAAACATTTACATAGGGGCATCTGGGTGGCCCAGTCAGTTAAGCGCTGACCCTTGATTTTGGCACAGAGCATGATCTCAGGGTCATGAGATCAAGCCCCATGCTTTGCAGAGTCTGCTTAAGACTCTCCCTCTGCCCCTCTTGCTCTCTTTCTCTAAAATAAATAAATGAATCTTAAAAAAAAAACCACACAACTATTCTAGGGGCACCTAGGTGGCTCAGTCAGTTGAGCATCAGACTCCATTTCAGCTCAGATCTTGATCTTGGGGGTTGTGTGGGTTCAGGCCCCACACATTAGGCTCTATGCTGGGCGTACTTAAAAAATAAAAATTAAAAAAAAAAAACAACCTATTCTAGGGACGCCTGTGTGGCTCAGTCGGTTAGGTGGCTGCCTTCGGCTCAGGTCGTGATCTCAGGGTCCTGGGATCGAGGCCCACATTGGGCTCCCTGCTCGGTGCAAAGTCTGCTTCTCCCTCTCCCTGCTTGTGCTCTCTCTCTCTCTCCGTCTGAGAAATAAATAAAATCTTTAAAAAAAAAAAAACTATTCTAGATCAGAGGTCTACAACCTTTAGCCTGTTTTTATAAATAAAGTGTGTGTGTGTGTGTGTGTGTGTGTGTGTTTATTTTGGGAGAGAGAAAGAAATGGGGAAGAGGGAGAGGGAGAGAATCTGAAGCGGGCTCCACACCCAGTGCAGAGCCCAACATGGGGCTCGATCTCACAACCCTGAGCCAAAATCAAGAGTCAGATGCTTCACCAACTGAGCCACCCAGGCCCCCTCTATAAATAAAGTTTTATTAGAACATAGCCACACTCATCTGTTTAGATAATGTCTATGGCTGCTTTCTAAATACAATGACAGAGTGGAGTAGTTGCAAAGCGCAGCTGATTCCCAAAGCCAAAATTATTTACTATCTGACCATTTAAGAAAAAGTCTGCTAGGCCCTGCTATAGATTAAAGATACAGAGACATGACAACCAAGTATAATGTATAGTCACGAATTAGGTCCCAGAGAGGGGGAAATAAACATTTTGGGGATATTTCTGGGTATAGACAGAAAAATGTAAATACAGATTGTGGATTATATATTTTATTCTATCAATACCAGACTACTGAGGTACAATAAGATATTTAAGGTTATGCAAGAGAATATTTTTTTTTTCAGATTTTATTTATTTATTTGAGAGAGAAAGAGTACAGAGTGAGAGAGAGAGAGAGCACAAGCTGGGGGTGGGGGGAGAGGGAGAAGCAGGCTCCCCACTGAGCAGGGAGCCCAATATGAGGCTTGATCCCAGGATGCTGGGATCATGATCTGA